CTATGGGGCCACGAAACGTGTGAGGGGTGTGCCGAAATGGGTGTGCGGGACGCATGCGGACGGCAGCCATGGGGCCTTCGGTGGAGCTCCCTATGGGGCCACGAAACGTGTGAGGGGTGTGCCGAAATGGGTGTGCGGGACGCATGCGGACGGCAGCATGGGGCCTTCGGTGGAGCTCCCTATGGGGCCACGAAACGTGTGTGGGAGGGGTGTGTGCCGAAATGGGTGTGCGGGACGCATGCGGACGGCAGCCATGGGGCCTTCGGTGGAGCTCCCTATGGGGCCACGAAACGTGTGAGGGGTGTGCCGAAATGGGTGTGCGGGACGCATGCGGACGGCAGCACTGGGGCCTTCGGTGGAGCTCCCTGTGGGGCCACGAAACGTGTGAGGGGTGTGCCGAAATGGGTGTGCGGGACGCATGCGGACGGCAGCCATGGGGCCTTCGGTGGAGCTCCCTATGGGGCCACGAAACGTGTGAGGGGTGTGCCGAAATGGGTGTGGGGACGCATGCGGGCGGCGGCACTGGGGCCTTCGGTGGAGCTCCCTATGGGGGGCCACGAAACGTGTGTGGGGTGTGCCGAATTGACGATGACGATGACGATGACGCGTGGAAAAATGACGATGATGATGATGATGATGAATGATGATGATGATGATGATGATGATGACGATGATGATGATGATGATGATGATGATGATGATGATGATGATGATGATGATGATGATGATGATGATGGATATGATGAGATGATGATGATGATGGGAGGAGGGAGGAGGGGGAGGAGAGAGGAGGAGGAGGAGGTGGGACGCGGGGCGCTGTCTCTTCAAAACGAGGACCCAACACCACAGGATGGTTGGGAAATTAGCCTGACGAGGGACCCAACCATATACAGGTGTGAGTACCGCAATAGTGATTCACTTTTTCGGTGGCGATCCCTATGAGGCAACGAACCGTGCTAGGGGTGTGCCGACATGAGTGGCGTGGTACACAACGCGAACGAAAACGATTGATCTGAGTACGTAGGGAGACTGAGCGCGGGTGAATCTGCGCGCGTGCGTCTGACGGTGAATGAATCTGCGTGCGAACGAGTCTACGTGCATGAATGCGAATATGACAAAGCGTGGCGCAATTGTGTATGAATGTCAATAGTTTGACAATGTCTGCCTCTGAGTACTCGTGACGCTGGGCGTGGCCGCCGCAAGGAGCTTCCCCGGGACTCCCCGACGGCATCGCCCGCGCGCCGCGACGCCAATGTCGGCGCGCCCACCGGCGAGGATCGCGCCCGCTTCCTCCCCTTCCTTTACTCCCTCTTTGCCCGCGCACTCAAAAGTCCAAGGTTGCGGGCGCAGCGCAGCGCGGAGTCCCCGCGACGCGCGCAGGTCGCCCCGGAGGGGTCCCAGCGACGCGCGCGGGTCGTCCACTGCGCGGAGCAAAAAGAGCTAGCTGGCTGGCTGATAGCGGGCAAGGCTCTTGCCGCTGGGCAGAGAGACGACGGGACGCATGCGGGCACACCCACTGGGACCTTCGGTGGAGCTCCCTATGGGGCCACGGAACGTGTGAAGGGTGTGCCGAAATGGGTGTGCGGGACGCATGCGGGCACACCCACTGGGACCTTCGGTGGAGCTCCCTATGGGGCCACGAAACGTGTGAGGGGTGTGCCGAAATGGGTGTGCGGGACGCATGCGGGCACACCCACTGGGACCTTCGGTGGAGCTCCCTATGGGGCCACGAAACGTGTGAGGGGTGTGCCG